AAGAACCACTAGGGACTTTCCACCCCTGAGCGATAAAGGGGATGGGTTTTCTGCTTTAAAAGGAGCCATGAGACTAAACTAGGTACTGTTCTTTTTGGGGCCCAAAGCCCCAGTGTAGTTCCATTCAGTAATGAAGACATTCTATTGGAGGTATTCTGTGTCTGTGTGGTCTCTCCTGGTGATCTCCCCTCAACAATATGATCAGAGGCACATAAGCATTACATCTGTGTTCTTCCCCTAAGAGTGTCCTCCCTTGGTCTCATTCTGTGTGGATGGCTAGAAACCTGTATAGCTTATCATGTCCTGGTGTAGTTTAGATCTAGCTTCTGCATATGAAAGAAAATATAGGCTTACCTCACTTAATATGATTTGTTCTAGGTCCATCCATTTCCCTGCAAATGATATATTATTTTTAATGGCTATGCCAGAATCATGTTTTAAAACAAAACAAAACAAATGCTGGGTGCCAGCAACTCACCTGTAATCCCAACTACTCAGAAGGCTAAGATCTTAGAATCACAATTCTAAGTCAGTGGGGGCAGGAAAGTCTATGAGACTCATCTCCAGTTAGTCACCAAAAAAGCTGACGTGGAACTATGGTTCAAGAGTAGATGTTAGGAAAACAGAGGAGAGCCAGATGTCAGTGGCTCATGCCTCCTAGCAACTCAGGAGGCTGAGATCTGAGTATCATGGTTCAAAACCAGCCTGGGCAGGAAAGCCGTGAGTCTCTTATCTCCAATTAACTACCAGAAAACTGAAAGTGGTGCTGTGGCTCAAGTGGTAGAGTGCTAGCCTTGAGCTGAAGAGCTCAGGGATAGCTCCCAGGCCCAGAGTTCAAGCCCCACGACTGACAAAAAAAAAAGAAAAAAGAAAGGAAGAGGCCAGACTCGATCTCGATAGGCTAGGACTGTTTATTGCCAGCAAGGGACACATACCTTCCGGCGGGTATGGAGGCTGTGGGGGGGGGGACCTGGCGGAGGGGGGGGGGGGGGGGAGGGGGAATAGGGGGATTGGAGTAAAGGGTTTTATAGGATCTGAGCAAAGAGACAAGGGTTACATGAGTTTAGTATAGGGGATGACTGCAGGTATGGGCAGGCAATAGGGTAAGTATTCCCTTATCCAAGGTCTCAACCTTTTTTTTTTTTTTTTTTTTGTCGGTCGTGGGGCTTGAACTCTGGGCCTGGGCGCTGTCCCTCAGCTCTTCAGCTCAAGGCGAGCGCTCTACCACTTGAGCTACAGCGCCACTTCCGGTTTTCTGGTGGTTTATTGGAGATAGGAGTCTAATGGTCTTTCTTGCCCGGGCTGGCTTTGAACCGCGATCCTCAGATCTCAGCCTCCTGAGTAGCTAGGATTACAGGCGTGAGCCACCAGCGCCCGGCTCTCAACCTTTTTTTTTTTTTTTCCCCCCCAATGTTCAAACAGTTCTACATCTGCCTTGCCTAAACCTTCACAGGATAATTTTTAGTCTTCCAACCTCTTAACCCTTTCCAGTCCTCACAGCCTTATAAACTAGGTCCACAATGGAATATTTACAGCCAGGCTTAGGTGGATTGCCCTGCCTGGGTCAGGCGGTTTGCACTTATCTTTGGTGGCTTGTCTGGTATCTGTATGCACCTGGGAAAATAGGGTGTACGTCAATCCTTCAGTAGTCTTGAGCAAAAATCTCAAGGATGATGCCCTGATCCTGAGTTCAAGCAACAGGATCAGTACTTGCTCTCTCTCTCTCTCTCTTCACACACACACACACACACACACACACACACACACACACACACACACACACACACACACACACACACACACACACACACACACACACACACACACAGAAAGATTAAATGAAAAACACATGTAAACAGCCCAGTGAGTGGCACAAAAGTTTATGAGAAATATTATTCAACTTTTCAAGTATTAGGAAAATTTTTACAAATGTGTGCAACAAAAAGTAAGTACAGAGGTTTTTAAGACTGTGACTGAAGCATTTGTTTGGTTTGTCCAAAATAGGTTCCTCCCTTTTGAAAATTTACCACTTAATTCCACCTCTCACGTACTTTCTGGTGGTATAAGCAATCTTATTTTTCCAAGTTTCTTAGAAAAGTAGTTCAATATTCTAGTTGTATCTTGTTCAGAATAAAACTTAGAAAAGGCTCATGATAAATGATAAACATGGTTCCTTAAAAATTAACCATAAGCTCGGCACCAGTGGCTCATGCCCATAATTCCAGCTACTCAGGAGGCTGAGATCTGAGGATTTGTGTTCAGAGCCAGCTGGGGCAGAAAAGTTCCCTTATCTCCAACCAACCATTCAAAAACTAGAAGTAGTGGTATGGCTCAAAGTGGTAGAGGGCTAGCCTTGAGCAAAAGAGCTCAGGGATAGTGCCGTCGCTGAGTTCAAGCCCCATGACCAACAACAACAAAAAAAATTAAGTATAGTTTTGCCATGTAAAGCAATTCTGTTCTGTAAAAATTATTACTAATGAAACATATTCCCATGCATTGAGTCTGAAGTTATATCACTGCTTCTTTGTTTTAAATATTACTTATATCATTGGAAGTGGCGCTGTAGCTCAAGTGGTAGAGCGCTCGCCTTGAGCTGAAGAGCTGAGGGACAGCGCCCAGGCCCAGAGTTCAAGCCCCACGACCGACAAAAAAAAAACAAAAACAAAATAAATATTACTTATATCACTAGAGACTGAAGTAAATGTTTATTACTAATACATGCCTGAGATTTAGATTTGTTTGACACTTGCTGTTGCAAAACTTATTGAGAACCAGCTAATCAATAGTTGTACGGGAACTTGATCAGAAACAGAGAAGCCACATTTTAAGAGGTCGACGTGGGAGTCTTTATTGGAGAGTTGGTGACTGCAGGTGAACTCCTGTCTCAAAGACCTGCAGCCCAGAATGAGCTCGCACAAGGCTTTCTTTGCCAGTCCTGGGGCTTGAACTCTGCCTGGGCACTGTTCCTGAGTTTCTTTTTGCTCAAGGATAGCACTCTACCACTAGAGCCACAGCACCATTTCCAGCTTTTTCTATTTATATGGTACTGAGGAATCGAAATCAGGGCTTCATGCATGCTAGGCAAGCATTCTATGACTAAGCCACATTCCCACCCCATCTTGCACAAAACTTTTTTTTTTTTTTTTGAGTTATGGGTCTTGAACTCTGGGCTTGGGCACTGTCCCTAAGCTCTTCAACTCAAGACTAGGGCTCTACCACTTGAGCCACAGCGCCACTTCTGGTTTTCTGGTGGTTAATTGGAAATAAGAGTCTCACGGATATTCCTGCCTGGGCTGGCTTTGAACCCTGATCCTCAGATCTCAGCCTCCTGAGTAGCTCTAGGATTACAGGCATGAGCCCCTGGCGCCCACAATACTTTTAAAGACAAAACCTACATGTTTGGGCTGGAGACCCAAACCCAACAGAAGCAAACCATATAGGAAATACTCAGGGGGAGGCAAAGCTTTCCACCTAGCGAAAAGAAGTATTCAGGAGCTAGCTAAACTTTCCACATAGGCAAAGTCTGGTTTGAGCAATTCAAACTATGTAAGAAAATGCTAAACAGCATGACATCTGTGATTCAAAGAATGGCCTATCTCACTTCTAACCCTTTCAGAGCTGGGTGAAAAGCCCCTCACTACCCAACCAAGACACCAGGATGACTGTGGGAACAAGGTATGTTATTTAGACCCAGTCTCCTTGTTTCAAAACATATGCAGCATAACTTTAGTGATGAGCATGGCTGGTTTTTTTTTTTTTTTTTCCAATTGTATCTTTTGTTGTTGTTAATCACGGGGACTGAACTTTGGGCCTGGTTTCTCTCCCTGAGCTTTTGTGCTCAAGGCTTGAGCCACAGTTCCACATCCTGCTTTCTGTGGTTAATTGGAGATGAGTTCAGATTTTCCTGCCCCAGCTGGCTTCAAACCACGATCCTCAGATTTCAGCTTCCTGAGTAGCACTAGGATTAAGGGCATAAACCACCAGCACCTGGCATTGTATCTTTAAATTATGTCTGGCTGGGAATGTGGCTCAGTTGTAGAGTGCTTGCCTAGCATGCATGGAGCCCTGAGTTTGATTCCTCAGTACCACATACACAGAAAATATCAGAAGTGGCACTGTGGCTCAAGTGGTAAAGTGCTAGCCTTAAGCAAAAGCAGCTCAGGGACTGTCCCAGGCCCTGAGTTCAAGCCACAGGACTAGCAAATAGTCATCAGACATGTTTCTGCTCTAGGTGTTAGTGTCCACGGCTCAGGGCTCTTGTTGTCAAGGTACAAAATCCACTGACGTCCTTGTCTTACCTTTTTTTGACCCTGAATATAAAGCAGCTAACACTTAACATGTAAATAAGGAGAGTCCTTTTTCGTGTGCCAGTTCTGGGGCTTGAACTCAAGAGCCTCACATTGTCGCTCTATCACTTGAGCCAGGCCTCCACTTACAGTTTTTTTGCGGGCTGACTGGAGATTAGAGTCTGGAGGATTTTCCCGCCCTGGCTGGCTTTGAACCTTGATCCTCAGATCTCAGCCTCGGGAGCAGCTAGGATTATAGGCGAGAGCCATCGAGGCCAGACTCCCATTTCCTTCTGTCTTCTTCAATTCTCCCTATTTTAGCTCTGTCATACTAGAATAAATTCCTACTGAAACCTTCAAAAAACAAACAAATAACTAAAACCCGGACGGACCCGAACCTCGCATCTCCACATTTAGCAGTCCCGGCAACACAGACCGGAAGCTCGCCTGGCCCCGCCCCGCCGGAAGCCCGCCCCGCCGGAAGCCCGCCCCGCCGGAAGCCCGCCCCGCCGGAAGCCCGCCCCGCCGGAAGCCCGCCCCGCCGGAAGCCCGCCCCGCCGGAAGCCCGCCCCGCCGGAAGCCCGCCCCGCCGGAAGCCCGCCCCGCCGGAAGCCCGCCCCGCCGGAAGCCCGCCCCGCCGGAAGCCCCGTGCGTGCGCAGTTTCGTGCTGTGAGACTCGGGGGCGGGGCCTCGCAGTGCTTTGTGGGAGCGGCGCAGCGCGGGTGGTCTGTGGCTCAGGGCGGGCGCCCCGGGCTCCGCTCGGCTTCTCGAGTTCTCCCGGCTCCCGCCCAGGCGTCGGGGTTCTTCCCGCCCCGTCGGCAGCATGTCGGGCGTGCGCGCTGTACGCATCAGCATCGAGTCGGCCTGCGAGAAGCAGGTGCAGGAGGTGGGCCTCGATGGCACGGAGACGTACCTGCAGCCGCTGTCCATGTCCCAGAACTTGGCGCGCCTGGCCCAGCGCATCGACTTCAGCCAGGGCTCGGGCTCCGAGGAGGAGGAGGCGGCGGGGCCCGAGGGCGACGCGCCGGACTGGCCGGGCGCCGGCGCCGACCAGGACGACGAGGAAGGTGCGGGGCAGTTTGTGGACCCTTGTGATCCCCTGGTGGTTGGGATTCGCCGCGGTTTCCAGCCACTGCCCCGGAGGTGGCGGTGGGGTTCCGCTCAGTACGCGGGCACGGTGCGGGTTCAACCGCACCGCCACAGGAGATTCCCCGCAACCACCTGTTTAAGGGGAGCATGCTGGAAGAAGCCTGGCACCGGTGGTTTACGCCTGTGGTCCTGCTATAAAGAAGTATGAGGCTCACAGAAGCCAGCCTGGGAGGGAGAGACTGAGTCGTCCCCAGTTGAGCTGTGGCTTAAGTGGTAAAATGCTGGCCTTGAGTGGAAATTGCTGGAGTTCAAGTCCCGCTACTGGCACAAAAACAGGGAGGGAGGGAGGAAAGCAATTAGATAAAAGGGGGGTGTTGGAAAGAAAAATAACGAGTTTTCCTTTCAGTACTTTTAAGCCACTCAGTGATATTTCTGTCTTATGTTCAGTGTAATAGTTTGTATTTCTTCTTTTGCTTTTTAGGATTAGTAAAATTTCAACCTTCCTTATGGCCTTGGGACTCAGTGAGGAACAATCTGAGAAGTGCTCTGACAGAGATGTGTGTGCTCTATGATGTCCTCAGTATTGTTAGAGATAAAAAGTTCATGACTCTGGACCCAGTCTCTCAGGATGCCATCCCTCCAAAACAGGTATAGTAATACTCATCTGAATAATACTTTCCTACTCAGTTTCTGGATTATATTTTGGTTCTGTGCTTATTTTTGGTGGTTCCCTTCTCTTTTGATTGTATGTTTCTTTTTTTTGGGGGGGGGGGGGGTCCGGTCTTGGTGCCTGAACTCTGGGCCTGGGCGCTGTCCCTCAGCTCTTCAGCTCAAGGCTAGCGCTCTACCACTTGAGTCACAGTGCCACTTCCGGCTTTTTTTTCTTTTTGCTTATGTGGTGCTGCCGAATCGGACCCAGGGCCTCAGGCATGCAAGGCAAGCACTCTACCACTGAGCCACCTTCCCAGCCCCTGATTGTATGTTTCATCGTGCTCCTTTATTTTTTTTTCATTTTTCTTAAACAAAACTTTAGTTGTTATAAAGGTGATGTACAGAAGGATTACCTAAGTCAGGTAATGAATACATTTCTTTTTGGACAGTGTTACCTCTTCACTCTCTCCCAGTTTTTTCCTTCCATCCTCACCTACATGTTGTATAGTTCATTTTCAATATAATGTCTAGTGAGTACCCCTGTTGCCTTTGTTCACCCTTTGTCCCTCCATTTCTGTGCTCTTCTTACCCTCCTAAAGACAAATGAACAAACAAGAAAAAAAAAACAACAAAAACTATTGCTTCTATTTCCTTGAGTTCATTTTGGCCAATACTATTTTGTATGATCGAAGGATCGCATCTTTGTGGTTCTCTTCTAAGAGTTTCCTCCTTTGGTCTCACTGTGTGTGAATGCCTAGAGTCCTTTTGTAGTTTATGATGTCCCAGTGTATTTTAGATCTAACTTCTGCATATGAGACAAAAGATGGATGGTTTGTCTCTCTGAGCTTGGCTTACCTCACTTAGCATGATTTGTTCTAGGTCCATCCATTTCCCTGCAAATAATGTAATCTTCCTAAAGGCTGTGTAAGATTCCATGTGTAGGACCACTTTTTTTTTTTTTTTAAATCCATTCCTACTTTGGGACCAGGATTAGGTCTTAAGCTCAGTATCTGATGCTTACATTCACTTATTGGCTGGTACTCTGTGTGACCTGAGCTAAGCCTTTAACCCCAAGTGGTATTCTTTATTTTTTCCTTGAAAAATTAAGTCCAGAACAGATTTGAAGACTAGCTGGTTCAAAACAAAATCATAAAACTATATCTCTTACATATTTGCCCTTGGAAGAGATTTGTTCATAATGTCATACTTTAAAGCTTCCCAAATATTTGGAAATTTTTACAATCTTGGTCCTTTGTTTTTGGTATACAAAATGTGATGACAGGGATAAGAATGTGGCTTAGTGGTAGAGTACTTGCCTAGCATGCATGAAGCCCTGGGTTTGTACCACATAAACAAAAACCCAGAAGTGGTGCATAGACTTGAGTTTAAATCCTTCTTCTGTCCTAAATAGCTGGTAGCATTAGTGGTTTATTTTCTTAAAAAAAATCTCAGTTCTCCCCTCAAGTCTCTCTCTCTCTCTTTTTTTTTTTTTTGTGACTTCTCAGAAAAATAAGACCAAACTGTGGAGCATAGTGCGAACTAGATAGATGTTAATACTTGCCTTTTTAAAAAAGTGCATTCAGATGGTTGCCAGTTGTCTGTAATCTAGCTACTCAGGAGGCTGCTATCTGAGGATTGTGGTTTAAAGCCAACCCCAGGCAGGAAAGTCTATGAGACTCTTACTTCCAGCTAACCACCAGAAACCCAAGAAGTAGTGCTGTGACTCAAAGTCATAGACTACCATCCTTAGACAAAAAAAGCTCAGGGACAGCTTGCAGGCCCTGAGTTCAAGCCCCATGACTAACAACAGCAAAAAAATGTATTCAACACAGTGGAATTCTACTCATCCATCAGAAAGAATAATATTGTACCATTTGTAAGGAAATGGAAAGACTTGGAAAAAATTAAACAAAGTAAGCCAGACCCAAAGAAACATAGATTGCATGGTTTCCCTCATTCATGGTAACTAGAATGTGCCTATAAATCTACAAGTAAGCACACTGGATGGTTACAAAACAAACATGAAAACAACACTGGGACATGATAAATTATACAGCTCTCTAGACAGTCACACAGTAAGACCAAAATAGTTTATGATTAGGAGCAGATCACAAAGGCTCAATAGCTATGTGCATATAATCATAGAAAATAATATTTTACTAAATGAACTCCCAAGAGTTTTTTTTTTTTTTTTTGGTCAGTTGTGAGACTAGCTCTGGGCCTGGGTGCTGTCCCTCAGATCTTTAGTTCAAGGCAAGCACTCTACCACTTGAGCCACAATGCCACTTCCAGTTTTCTGAGCGGTTTATTGGAGATAAGAATCTCACAGACTTTCCTGCCTGGGCTGGCTTTGAACCATGATCCTCAGATCTCAGCCTCCTGAGTAGCTAGAATTATAGGCATGAGCCACCATGTTGTTGCTGTTTTTGTTGTATCTTCCTTTTTTAGTTAGATGTCTTTGGGAGGGTCAGAGGGGAGCACAAAAAAGATGGAACAAAGGGTGGACATATGTAGCATTGGTACTCTACACTATGTTGAAAATGAACTATACAACTTGGTGGGGAGGATGGAAGGAAAAAACTGAGAGAGTGAAGGAAGGAGGTAACATGGTTCAAAAAGAAATGTATTCATTACGTGACTTACGTAACTAACCATCTACATTACCTCTACCATAACAATGATATGTATATATATGTATGTATGTACATATATATGTTTGGGTTTTGTTTTTTTTTTTTGTGCCAATCATGGGGCTTGAGCTCAGGTCCTGGGCACTGTCCTGAGCTGCTTTTGCTCAAGACTAGCATTTGAGTCACAGCACCACTTCTGGCTTTTTCTGTTTATGTGGTACTGAGGAATTGAACCCAGGGCTTCATGTATGCTAGGCAAGCACTCTACTTCTGAGCCACATTCCCAGCCCAATAAAATATATTAAAAATGTAGCCACAGCTGAAAAAGTGGCTTTAAGAAGTACCATCATAACAAACAAAAAAAGTATGTTCAGTCTTTGAACATTTGACTATGAAAGAGAGGTGTCAGACTGAGGAATTGGGAAATGGAGAGCCAGTAAACAAGGAGACTGCTGGGAAAGTCCTTAGGAAAACAAGATTGGAAGCAATAGCTTTAGGAATATTGAGCTGAAAGACTTCAGGGGACTCACTAAATCTACTTCATTTTGAAAAGAAAAAACTAAGGTACAGAGATTTTCCTTTGCTCATGTTGTAGTCAAGCCAGTAGTTTGGGAGCCAAGACCTGAACTCCAGCACCTCATCCACTGGACCCTGCTTTCTCCACCCCTCTGCTTCTCCAGAGAGTAGTCTCCAGGAGCTAGCTCACTGCCTCTAAGAGCTGCTTTTGTTAGGCTCCCTTATATGGTGAAAAGATTAATTTGGCATTTCTTTGAAACTTGTTATTTCCACTCTTTAAAGCCCAGAGTAAATAGTCCCTTAGTACTGTTTAATACAGTATACAAATTGATAGTGATTATGGATATATATGTATTTACATATGATGCATAGATTTTGATTTGTGATTAGTTTTCAGAAATCAGCATTCAATGCTGTATATGATATTAATACATGATTTCAATCATAGTTCCAAAAATAAACTGCTTTTTGCTCATGTAAATTACATTCAGCGGGATGATAGATTTATTTTCTTTCATACTGAACTCAGAGGCACAGGTTCCACTCAATTTATATCATCCCCTCAGTCACTTTTTTTCTTTCCTTCATTCTTTTTATTTTATCTTATTTTTTTAATTAATTAAATTTTTTTTTGGGTCCGGTCGTGGGGCCTGAACTCTGGGCCTGGGCGCTGTCCCTCAGCTCTTCAGCTCAAGGCTAGTGCTCTACCACTTGAGCCACAGTGCCACTTCCGGCTTTTTTCTTTTTGCTTATGTGGTGCTGAGGAATCAAACCCAGGGCCTCAGGCATGCAAGGCAAGCGCTCTACCACTGAGCCACCTTCCCAGCCCCTCATTCTTTTTATTTTTTTGTTTATGTGGTACTGAGGAATTAAAGCTAGAGCCTCATGCATGTTAGGCAAGCACTTTACCGGTAAGCCACATTCCCAGTCTCTGTCACTCTTTGGTGCTGGGCTTCTTTTCTTTCTTTCTTTTCTTTTTTTTAATTATCTCTAGGTAGTTGTACAGAGGGTTTCAATTCAACACGTCAGTCTTTGAGTACACTGCATCTTGACCAATGTTACCCTTTTTATCATTCTCCCTTCTAACTCTACCTTATTCCCTCAATTTTCTTAATTGCATTTGCATATATATTCGTTGAATATTATGATTCCATTCTCCCACCTTTCCTCTTTCCCTTTCCCTCTGCTCTTGACCTCATGTTCAATATGTACTTCCTGGTATTCATTTTGTTAGACTGTGACTTCTTTTTTTTTTTTTTTTTTTTGTCTGTCATGGGGTCTGAACTCTGGGCCTGGGCGCTGTCCCTCAGCTCAAGGCTAGCACACCACTTGAGCCACAGTGCTGCTCCGGCTTTTTCTGCTTATGTGGTGCTGAGAAATCGAACCCAAGGCCTCATGCATGCAAGGCAAACACTCCACCACTGAGCCTCCTTCCCAGCCCAGACTGTGAGTTCTTCAAAGACCTTAAACCAGTGGAATTTTCCTCAGCTGATCTTTCTCAAGGATTGGTGCTTAATCATGAAGCCAGGCCTTCAGCACAGGATTACAGATGTTAGAATATGAGTGACACAAAAGAATACTTGTGAATAGCAATGTTAAGGGCAGCCTGTTACGAAGGGGTTGTATCTAAGCTAGCTTTCACAGAGGTGATGCAGTAGTAAGTCCTAATGTCCATTTGATGTTTTTCCTCCAACAGAGAACTTTGTGAGTTGACCAAAGAAGTAGGTTCAGATTTTCTTTTATTAATTTATAGTTTGCTTCTTTGTTTTGTGGTACTGGGATGGAACCCAGGGCTTTGGCCTTTGGCTTATGAGGTAAGTATGCTAACATTTGGGCCACACCTCCCACACAATTTTTTTATTATCTTAAAAACTTCTTTTTGCAGTGCTGAGGATAAGATAGTCAAAGGATTGCTGTGTATAGGTCATCCTCCCTCTGTAGTTTCTAAATTTTCTCTCAAGTAGATATCTTGTTACTATGAAAACATGCAATTTTAATGTCATCTACATATACAGCAGCAGTTTGGGATACAAACTTAATAGATTGTTTTTGATAGAATCCCCAGACACTGCAGCTGATATCTAAAAAGAAGTCACTTGCTGGAGCCGCACAGATCCTCCTGAAGGGCGCAGAAAGACTGACGAAATCCGTGACGGAAAACCAGGAGAGCAAGTTGCAAAGAGACTTCAACTCTGAACTCTTGAGATTAAGGCAACACTGGAAACTTAGAAAAGTTGGAGATAAAATTCTTGGAGATCTGAGCTACAGAAGTGCAGGTATAGATGATTGTTTAAAAATGCTTCTTGTAAGCCAGGCACCGGTGGCTCACGCCTGTAATCCTAGCTACTTAGGAAGCTAAGATCTGAGGATCACGGTTCAAAGCAAGCCCAGGCAGGAAAGTCCATGAGACTCGTAATTGCCACTAAAACCACCAGAAAACTGGAAGTGGTGCTGTGGCTAAAGTGGTAGAGCTCTATTCTTAAGCTGAAGAGCTGAGGGATAGCACGCAGGCCCAGAGTTCAAGCCCCACGAACAACACAAAAACTCCGCTTCTTGTGGAAGAAGTTGACTGTAATGTTATGTTTTTTAAATAAGACATTGTCAGCTGCATGTTACATTTAAAAATTTATTTCTATTTTAAGATAATAAAAAAATATAATTTTAAAATACATTCTGTACCTGAACTTACTTAAAAATTACTTCTGTACACATATGCTACTGCTATTCTCCCTTCCCTTTTTTTGTGTTGATACTAGGTTTTTGAACTCAGGGCCTCTCATAGTTGACACTCCATCACTTAAGCTATATTTCCAGTCTTTTTATTTTTTTTTCCCTAGTCCTGGGGCTTGAACTTAGGGCCTAGAAACTGTCTCCGAGCTTCATTTGCACAAGGCTAGTGCTCTGCCACTGGAGCCACAGTGCTACTTGTTTTTTCTGTTTCTGTGGTACTAAGGAATGGAACTCAGGGCTTCGTGCATGCTAGGCAAGCATTCTACCTCTAAGCCACATTCCACTTTTTTTTTTTAAACTGTTTAATTGGAGATTGGGATACTGTCTCTTGGACTTTTCTGCCCCTGCTGGCTTTGAACTGCAATCCTCCAGGTCTCAGCTTCCTGAGTAGCTAAGATTATATCAATGAGTTATGGTTGCCCAACCAAAACTATTTCTATGATAGTCCTATAATAAGTAACTTAGCTTTTATCTGAATCTCTACTAAGTACATTTAATAGAAGATTCAACGTGTTTATCAGGGTTACAATTCAGTAGAGTGAAAGCTTTCAATGCTAAGAGTTGAAGCAAGGAGTCCTGGCTGGGACACTTGTGACAGCAGTAGCAGAGTGATGTGTTATGACGAAGACTCGTGCAGAGCAAGCCACCATATCTTAAAATTAAAAGAAGGTAAACTGAGATAGTTAAGTGACATACTGGAGGACCTAAATGCTTCAGCATTAGTATGAAGTAGGGGAATTCTGAACCAAGAAAATAAAAATCCCCCTGCAAAGCTAACAAAGTTATTTTTACATTTTAATAGGTAAGACTATTAGAAGCAGTGCTTTCTGGTTTTAAACGTGTTTTTAATCCACAAATAATTATACACAAATATATTTCTTTTACGGATAACTATCCTTGATTGTGAAAGAATTCAGTTACATTGCATGTGTGTTAGTGTGAATATGAAATGGTTGAAAAAAAGATATTGTATGTATGTTCTTCATCTTTCTGTGGCTAGATTCAGAATACTTCCATTGTAATCTGGTTACAGAGGCTGAGCTCCAGTGGTGTCTCATTCCTGAGACCTCAGTCTGAGGAATTATCTTCTAAAAGCAATCTGTTATCAAATATGCATTCCAAATATTTGACCTATGCATTTTATTTTTTTATTTTTTGGCAGTTCGTGGGGGCTGAACTCTGGGCCTGGGCACTGTCCCTCAGCTCTTCAGCTCAAGGCTAGCACCTACCATTTGAGCCACAGTGCCGCTTCTGGCTTTTTCTGCTTATGTGGTGCTGAAGAATTGAACCCAGGGCCTCGTGCATGTGAGGCAAGCACTCTACCACTGAGCCACCTTCCCAGCCCCTGGCTTATGCATTTTATATAACAATGATACCATAAGACTAAAGATACTGAGCTATAGTCCCAGCCTAGGTTTATTATGTTTTTAAAATAAGGAACAAGCTGGGTGCCGGTGGCTCATGTCTGTAATCCTAGCTACTCAGGAGGCTAAAATCACAGTTCAAAGCCAGCCTGGGCAGAAAAGTCTGTGAAACTCATTTCCAATAAACCACTTGAAAACGGGAGGTGGCACTGTCTCAAGCGGTAGAATGCTCGCCTTGAGCTGAAGAGCGCAGGGACAGCCCCCAGGCCCAGAGTTCAAGCCCCATGACCCACTGAAAAAAATAATGAACAAGCTGGACACTAGTGGCCCATGCTTTAATCTTAGCTAGGATTACTGCTCCAGGGGGCTGAGATCTGAGGACCATAGTTGGAAACCAGCCAAGGCAGGAAAATCTGTGAGAATCTTATCTCCAATGTACTACCAGCTGAAAGTGGAGCTGTGGCTGAAGTGGTAAAGTGCTAGCCTTGAGCACAAACGATAAAGGACAGTCAGTAACCAGGCTCATGAGTTCAAGGCCTAATACACATACTCACACACACACACACACACAATAACAGTTTCTGCTTTTTCCCCTTTGCTCACTGCTACTTCCTTTTTCCCCAAACATACAACTTTTTTTGTTGGGAACTTAATTTTTGTGCATGTGAAGTATTACATACATAATAACATATTCTAACTGAATATATTAAATGTTTTCTGTTTCCCTATCTTGATTACCTCTTTAGGATCTCTTTTTCCACATCATGGTACATTTGAAGTAATAAAGAACACAGATATTGATCTGGATAAGAAGATACCTGAAGACTACTGTCCCTTGGATGTCCAAATTCCTAGTGATTTAGAGGGATCTGCATACATCAAGGTATTTGTGAAAGAATTCCTCAATAAATCTTGTTAATACTCCTTGAAGCTACTTTGCTAATGTTTCCTTCATGTCTTTATTGTCATACAGGTTTCTATTCAGAAGCAGGCTCCAGACATAGGTGATCTTGGCACAGTTAATCTCTTCAAGCGACCTTTGCCCAAGTCCAAGCCAGGTGTAGTTATGTGCCATCCTTTTTTTAATCTTAATTTACATTTACAAATAAGTCAGGTATAAATATAGAAAAGGAAAATAGGTACTTTGAAGTAAGAATAATGGGAATATAACTTAAAACTATATTATTGTTATTTTTTTGCTGGTACCAGGGTTTGTGCTTACCCAGCTAGCTTGATTGCCATGCCTCCAGCCTGGCTTTTTTTCCCCCCCTTTCAGTCACAGGGCTTGAACTCAGGGCCTGGACGCTGTCTCTGAACTCAAGAATAGTGTTCTGCCACTTTGAGCCCCAGCCACTTTCAGTTTTCTGGTGGTTAATTGGAGATATGAGTCTCTTAGACTTTACTGCTTGGGCTGACTTTGAACCACGGTCCTCAGATCTCAGTCTTCTGAGTAGCTAGGATTATAAGCATAAGCCATCAGTACCCTGCTCAGCTTGGCTTTTTACTGCTTAATTAGATATAGTGCCTTAAGGACTTTTCTCTGGGTTGGCTATGAACTGTGATCCTTCAGATCTCAGCCTCCTGAGTAGTTAAGATTACAGGTGTGAGCCACTGGCACCCAGCCTGTTGTTTATTTATTTATTTGCTTTTTTTTAGACAGGGTGGCCTTGAACTTGCACTCCTAATCTCAACTTTACAAGTTCTTTGGTTATAGGCATGCATCATTGTGCCTAGTTTTGAAATTATACTCCTTATGATTTTGTAAGTAAATGAAGAGCTTAGCTGTACTTTTATTTTGGGATTAAATTTACTAGTATTCTCTGTTTAAAAGAAGTAAGATGGTTCATATTTTAGAGTTTTCTGGGTTATGTGGATAGATAATTTGAATTATACCTGTGCTGCTTATCTTTCAGGCTCCCCACACTGGCAGATGAAGTTAGAAGCAGCACAGAACGTTCTCTTGTGCAAAGAAATTTTTTCACAGCTCTCTCGGGAAGCTGTTCAAATTAAATCACAGATACCTCACATCGTGGTGAAAAACCAGATTATCTCTCAGCCCTTCCCAAGTAAGAACAGCCAACCCTTTTGAGACGTAATAATAAGACTGGTTTGGAGGCCGCTCTTTGCCTGTGTGGGGAAAATAACAAGAGCAGAGGTGGTGTACTGCCCGTGATGGTATCCAAGTGGCATCCAGACTAAGGTGTAATTGCCAGTTGTGTGCTGCGTTTGATGCAGCAGTGGGCTTTAAAACTGTATGTTACAAGTCTGTATTTGCATGACTGTTAGCAACAGTATTTCTTTCTTGGTGGTGGTGGTGGTAATGGGGTTTGAATTCAGAGCTTCATACTTTGTTCTACCACTTGAATCATACATTCAGGACTTTTTACTTTGTTAGGTTTCAGATTGCGACTAACATTTTTGCCAGGGCCAGCCTTGGATCACCATTCTAGCTCTGCCTTCCACATACCTGGCATTACAGATGAATTCCACTATACTTGCTTATTTTTGAGATGTGGTCTAACTTTTTGCCTAGACTGGCCTCACACTGTGAGATCTTCCTGACTTCTGCCTTTGGAGTAGCTGGGATTCAGGCATGACCTATCTTCCCCAGTGTGTACTAGTTTTTTGTTGTTGGTATTAGTTATGGGGCTTGAACTCAGGGCCTGGGTACTTGCCCTGACCCCTGATCTCTTCTGCTCAAGACTATTGCTCTATCACTTTTAAGCCATAGCTCCACTTCCAATTTTCTGGTGGTTAATTGGAGTTAAGAGTCTTATCTCCAAAGCCCTGGCTGGGCTTTAAACTGCAATCCTTGGTTCTCAGCCTCCTGAGTATCTAGCATTACAGGTGTTAAGCCACCAGCACCCAGCTGCAGTAGTTGTTTGGAAGTGATATATATATATATATATATGAATGCCAGTTTTTAACTGTTCAAATGCAATTTGACTTACTTTAGAAATCAGTTTGTTATTAGGTGTTTACTTTTTTCACATAAATTTGTAAGACTTTAAGTCTTATCACGGAAATAAGGTTTTACAAGTAAAGAAGTCCATCATAGCTCTCATGGAAGCAGGAAAGAGTATCTGTTCTACTTGGTAAGGCCAGATACTGTGTACTAAAGGAAAAAACAAAACTTGCTTTTTTTTTTTTTTTTTTTTGGTTGGTCATGGGGCTTGAACTCAGGGACTGAGAACTGTTCCTCAGCTCTTCAGCTCAAGTGTAGTGCTCTACCACTTGAGCCATGGCATCACTTCCAGTTTCCTATTGGTTTATTGGAGATAAGTGTTTCATGGCTTTTCCTGCCTGGGCTGGCTTTGATGAACCATGATCCTCAGATCTCAGTCTCCTGAGTAGCTAGGATTATAGGCATGAGTCACCAGCGCCGGGCTAAAACTTGCTTTTTATAGTTTTGTAAAGGAAGGAAGAAAAATGAATAGATTGCTTATTCACTAGCCACAGCTTGAGGTCAGGAGCTATATTGTATACAATTGAAATGATCAGTTATTTAACAAAATTTGAATGATTAAAATACATGAGAGTATTATATGTATAAATGATCATTTTGGAATAAAAACATTGATCATAAGACCTGATCTTCAAGTTTAGCATCTTGTTTGTGAATGAGCTGTCATTATCCCTTAGGAAGACATTTGAGAATATGGCTATGGTTAAACTTTGTGAAGATAGTTCTTTTTTACATCTTGGGTAACTTGCATCTGTTCTTTTTATAAACAGGTTTACAGTTATCTATTTCATTGTGCCATTCCTCAAATGATAAGAAATCCCAAAAATCAGCTTCTGAGAAGCAAAGTGCAGAGGACCACCTCTATGTTCTAGAGCATAACTTGCACCTGCTGATTAGAGAGGTAATAAAGTAGCTGTTTCTGTGAACTGTGGCCAGCAAGTACCTCCCCTCAGCTTCATGTCAGTGCATAGTAACAACACACAGTACCTGGTGTGGAAGATGTTTGCTGTACTGGGGGATTCAGAGGTTCCCAAGCACGCTTTCTAGAGGTAGGAATATATCATAGGTTTTGTAGTTGAAGTTCAGGACACAACTGAGAAGATCAGAGAGAAGAGGAATTCCAACAGGGAAAGAAAGGGATGGGAAATTCTTGCCACTGCTTGTGTGAATAGAAAGTTTCAAGAGTACTGCTTCACAGTGGAAGACTAATTTCCTTTTTCTTTTTTTGTCAGTTGTGGTGCTTGAACTCTGGTTCTGGGTGCTATCCCTGTTCACTTCAGGTCAAGGCTAGCACTCTACCACTTGAGCCATGGCACTACTTCTGGCTTTTTCTGCTTATGTGGTGCTGAGGAATCGAACCCAGGGTCTCATGCATGCAAGGCAAGCACTCTACCAATGAGCCATCTTCCTAGCCCCTGGAAGACTAATTTTAAAAGGATCTGAGGAATTACATAGAAATACTTGTTCTAATCTCTGTCATACTCCCAGATCTGCTTTACTTGATTATAATGGCATAAAAGCCGTTGCTTCCAAAAGGCTGCTGTGATACTAAGGAGACAGACTTAGGAATCTCGAGTACAGGGTGTAGTGGAATACCTTATCTACTGATTGCATATGTTCTGTTCTTGAGGCTCAATGACAAAATTGTTTTGTATTTTTTTACTTACTATTTTGTGCTTGTCCTGGGACTTGAACTCAGGGCCTGAGTGCTGTCCCTGAGCTTCTGTCCCTTAACGATAGCTCATGGCTAGTGCTCTACCATTCTGAACCATAGCTCTACTTCCTGCTTTGATTGTTAATTAGAAACAGAAGTCTCACGGACTTTCCTGCTGTGCAGGCTGGCTTTGAACCATGATCCTCAGATCTCAGCCTCCTAAATGGCTAGGATTACAGGCCTGATCCAGCAGCATCCAATTGTTTTGTATTTTTAAACTTTTTATTTTATTAATAACTTTTTTATTGTGAAAATACCATACAGAGGGGTTACAATTACATGAGCAAGGTAACGAGTACATTTCTTATCAAGCATTGCTGCCTCCTCCTTTGTTTTCCCTTACCCTCCCTGCCCTCCCATCATCATCTTCCCCATTTGTTTTTTCCCTTCCCCTCTTTTAAAACTTTTATAATAAAAATTACAACTTGAGAAGTACCCTTCTTTTTACAAACCTGTATTAGTATGACTTAGTGATGCTAGTAAACACTCTGTTCCTTTTATTTGTAATTCAAATAGAAACAAATTCAAATTGTTTTTCATGGTCCAGGATAGCAGCTATGTTGTGATTAAATGTTGTGTACTATTTACTAGTTTGTATTAGTTAATTAAAATGGTTTTTCTTGTCAGTTTCATAAACAGACCTTGAGTTCTGTCATGATGCCGCACCCAGCAAGTGCACCTTTTGGCCACAAGAGAATGAGGCTTTCAGGTCCTCAAGCTTTTGATAAAAATGAAATTAATTCATTACAGTCCAGTGAAGGGCTTCTGGAAAAAATAATTAAACAAGCAAAACATATTTTTCTGAGGAACAGGTAAGGATGAGGCAACTTATGATTTCTTTATGAAGCTGAAATCCTTTTTCCAGTATTGCTTCATGCAGTGATTTTTTTGTGATTTTTTTTGGATGCCCTAACCTTTTTTTCTAGAAGGAAGGGGGTGGCTGCAATGTGGGAGTTTATGGTCATCCACTTGTTCCTGTTAAATATAGAGAAGACTTAAATCCATAGCCATTCTTAATTAAGTCTTTAAAAATTTGCAAAGACAGCCAGGTGCCAGTGGCTCACACCTGTAATCCTAGCTACTTAGGAGGCTGAGCTCTGAGGATCACGATTCAAAGCCAGCCCAAGGCAGGAAAGTCTGGGAAACTCTTATCTCCAAAAAACCATCAGAAAATCAGAAGTGGCGCTGTGGTTCAAGTGGTAGAGCACTAGCCTTGAATTGAAGAGCTGAGGGACAGTGCCCAAGCCCAGAGTTCAAGCCCCACGACCGACCAAAAAAAAAAAAATATCTCCCCCCCCCCCCCCCCCAAAGACACAGTTGGGAAAGGGGGAGGGGTGGAGTATATGACGACCAAGATGCATTGTACTCATCAATGAGCATGTTGATGGGAAACTTTTGTACAACTAAAAATAATCTTTTTAAGTTAAAAAAAATGGCAGACATTGTTGATTAGAAATGTGCTTTAGAAGCAGGTGCCAGTGGCTCATGCCTATCTGAGGATCGAGGTTCAAAGCCAGCCCAGGCAGGGAAATCCGTGACTCTAATTTCCACTACTCAAAAAAGCCAGAAGTGGCACTGTGACTCAGGTGGTAGAGGGCTCACCTTGAGCAAAAGAATCAGAGACAGCACCCAGGCCAAGAGTTCAGGCGCCAGGATCAGCCAAAAATGAAATGTGCCTTATGAAACCAGATTTGTTTTTTCTTTATTTTGAATCCAGAATCATATGTCTTTCTCTTTTTTTCTTTTCTTTCTTTTTTTTTGTGCCAGTCCTGGGGTTTAAACTCAAGGCCTGGGCACTGTTCCTCTTTGTGCTCAAGTTCTACCACTCTGAGCTACAGTTCCACTTTTGAGTTTTCTGGTGGTTAGTTGGAGATAATAGTCTCACGGACCTTCCCGGCTTCAAACTGTGATCCTCAGATCTCAGCCTCCTGAGTAGCTAGAATTATAGGAATGAGCTACTGGCGCCCAGCTTCCCTGAACTTTATTAATTTTGGTCATGGGGCTTGAAGTCTGGATCTGTGTGTCGTCTCTCAGTTCTTCAGCTCAAGGCAAGCACACTACCACTGGATCCACAGCACCACTTCTGGTTTTCTGGTGGTTAATTGGAGATAAGAGTCTCACAGACTTTCCTGCCCAGACTGGCTTTGAACTGCAATCCTCAGATGTCAGCCTCCTGAGTAGGATTACAGGGGTGAGCTACCAGCACCCAGCTTTCCCTGAACCTTTTTACTCAAAGCTAGTGCTGTGCCACTTGAGCTATAGCTCCACTTCTGGCTTTTTAAAAAAATTTAATTTTATTGTTATTATTAAGGTATTGTACATATGGGTTTTTACCATTTCATAAGTCAGGTAATGAGTACATTTCTTTTTGGGAAATGTCATCCCTTTGCTCTTTCCCTGTTTTCCCTCTTTTGTCCCTGCCCATAAGTTACATAGGTATATCCACATAGTGTATACTGAATAGCATGATTGCATTTGTTTACCCTTCTTCCTTCCCTTTCTGGGTTCCTGCTTTGATCTGTCTGAAAGAGAAAAAAAAAAAAAACCTAGAGCAAAAATAAACACCACCAACAGCAACCACTTCTGGCTTTTTGATGGTTAATTGGAGGTGAAGAGCCTCACAGACTTTACTGAAATCACTGGTTTCAAACCTTGACCCTCAGAGCCCAGTCTCCTAGTTGTAGACATGAGCCACAGGCCCCCCCCCCCCCCCCCCCCCCAGCTATTTCTTTAAAATCCTCACTTTTCAAATGTTGGGATTATAAGAAAATAGTAACTTGATTTGCAAATTTTCATATACTTGATGAGTGATTCAAACCCTGGCATGGGATATGGTGACTTTTTATAAACATTTAACTTCTTTTCTTTTAAAGAACAGCTGCAACCATTGACAGCTTGTCAAGCCGCATTGAGGATCCCCAGATACAGGCTCACTGGTCCAATATCAACGATGTTTACGAATCCAGTGTGAAGGTATTGATCACATCACAGGGCTATGAACAAATATGCAAGTAAGTATCACACATTGAAGTTAGGCATTTTATTGAGTTGCTTGGTTGTTGTTGTTGTTATTGTTTTTTGTTGGACATGGGGCCTGAACTCTGGGCCTTGGCACTGTCCCTCAGCTCTTCAGCTCAAGGCTAGTGTTCTACCACTTGAGCCACAGTGCCACTTCAGGCTTTTTCTGCTTATGTGGTAATGAGGAATCGAACCCAGGGCCTCATGCATGCAAGGCAAGCTCTCTACCACTGAGCCACCTTCCCAGCCCTTGAGTTGTTATTCATGGGTGTTTGCTAGAGAATGCCTTTATGTTTTTGGTTTGCTAGGGTGATATACATTTCAGTCAATTACCTAACTGTTAGGTGTTAGCAAGACCAAGGAGTCAGGATGTCTAGAATTGTCTATTAGGTAAATTAGGCCCACACATTTGTGCTACAGGGAACATTGAGCATAAGGCCCTGCCTCCATATATATATATTACAGCTACTTCAAATTTTGCCTAGAAGTGTGCAAGTAGCATACTAGAAATAAGGATGGTCATTTATGTTACAGCATGTGCTCTGCATCTTGCAACTGCAATGACCTAAATTTTGTAGCTCTTTATTTACCTTGTGTTGGTGCAGCATCTAGTTTAACTCATGATTATGCATTTTTGTTGTTGTTTTGGTTGTGGGGCTTGAACTCAGGGCCTGGGCACCTCTGTCCCTGACCTCTTTTGCTCAAGGCTAGTGCCCTACTACTTTGAGCCATGGTGCCAATTTCGAGTTTTGAGTGGTTAGTTGGAGACAAGAGTCTCATGGGGATTTTTCTCCCTGGGCTGGGACTTTGAATCAAGATTCTCAGCCTCCTGAATAGCTAGGATTTCAGGCCTGAGTCACCAGTGCCTGGCTTCGATTATACCTATTAAACCAGGCTGATATCAGTGGGTCTGTGAAGTAGCAACATAATTTTGTCCCACTGTTCTCAGAGATGCTTGATTTATACTCACAAGTCAGAAGTTAGTAAAATTGTCTCAGAGCCATGAAAAAATATTGAGGCTTCTCTTTGAGCCTCTAGCCAATAAGTAATTGACAAGATACAGCTGAGTGAGTCTCCTCCCTGAGTTAGTGTGTCTGTTTTCCAAGTGGCAGCTGTTATATTTCAGACCTATCTAGTATGTGAACAAACACTTTGAGACACAAAATCATCACCCTTTGAAGCAGGAACAGAATGTGCATTTATAATGCTATTTTCAGTGTGGCAGTTTAACTTTAGTATTTCTAATGAAAAGTGGTGCATAAGTGTAGGATCATACAGGAACACACGGTGAAACTTGAATCTTCTAGGGAAGGAAGTGGAGTAAAACTAAATCATAGCTTTCTTCTCTATCTAATGAAATATGGTTATTGGGTGATGTGGCAGTGGGATGGGAGAAATGGGTGTTGAACATAGATGAAACAAATTCCAAGTGAGTTTTTAACCTGTTAAGACTAGGTAAAAGTATCACAAACTATAGTTGTATGGTCATCTACTTTTGTGTTTAAAATTTTCCGTAACTGGAGAACAAATGAGCATAAAAGAAAGAGATAATTACTAGCATCCCAACAGTTCATTTATGTCTAGACTCAACACCAAAGCAACTGGGATTCTGGTTATAGTACCCAATGTATGTAAGTTCTGTGAAGAAAGTTTAGTAATGATGTAGCCTTGACAGAATTAGTAGAAGAGAGCTGAGTGAGTATGGTAATTCCTTCCTATAATCCCAGCATTTGGGAAGCTAAGACAGGAGGATTTCAAGCTTGAGGCCAGCCCAGACTACATAGCAAAACTTTCTCACCAAAACCAAAAAAAAAAAAGAGAGAGAGAGCAATAAAATGGAAAAAAGAATCAGAGGAGAGAAAGGAGATAGAGGGAGAAACTGAATGCCTTTTTCCTCATTTTTTTGGGTCCGGTCATGGGGCTTGAACTCTGGGCCTGGGCGCTGTCCCTCAGCTCAAGGCTAGCACTCTACCACTTGAGCCACAGCGCCACTTCCGGCTTTTTTCTTTTTGCTTATGTGGTGCTGAGGAATCGAACCCAGGGCCTCAGGCATGCAATACGAGCGCTCTACCACTGAGCCACCTTCCCAACCTTGTGTGTGTGCCCATATTTGGGCCTGAACTCAGCATTTACACTGTCACTTAGCTTTTTTCCTCATGGCTGGTATTATAACACTTGAGCCACAACTTCACTTCTGGCTTTTGGTAGTTAATTGGATATAAGAGTCTCATGTACTTTTCTGCCTGTATGGCTTTGAACCACAATCCTCAGATCCTGAGTAGCTAGGATTACAGGCGTGAGACACCAGTGCCTGACAAGCTAAATTTTTTTTTTTTGGTTGGTCATAGGGTTTGAACTCTGGGCCTGGGTGCTGTCCCTCAGCTCTTCAGCTCAAGGCAAGCGCTCTACTGCTTAGCCACAGCACCACTTCCAGTTTTCTAGTGGTTAATTGGAGATAATAGTCTTACGCACTTTCCTGCCCAGGCTCGCTTTGAACCGGGATCCTCACATCTCAACCTCCTGAGTAGCTAGGATTTCAGGCATGAGCCACCAGTGCCTGGCCAAGTTAAAATTTTTTAATCTTTCTAGAAAAGTCTGGGTAATTATAAGCACACATGCATGCCCGTGCACGCGCGCGCGCGCACACACACACACACACACACACACACACACACACACAAACATCTCCTACTTGCACCTGACTTCCTTTACAAAGCATGTGCTTTTTTTGAAAAAAATTGAACTTTCATACAATTTTTAGGTCTCCTGTGTTGTATAATACTGTAATTATCTAGTTTAAGAATATTTCCACTAACCCCAAAAGAAAATGCACATTAGCAGTCATCAGTTTGTGGTGTTTTGTTTCCCTTGTTGAGATGGGCTCACTCGGTAGTGAGACTAAGCTGGCCTTGAAATCACGATTCTCTAGCCTCTGCTTCCCAAGGGCTGGGGCCATAGGCATGTATGTGCCTTCACACCTGACTGGCCTGCTGCTTTTACTCAGTGGCATGGTGGTAAATGCGCATTCCTTATCAGCACATACAGATTTACTTCATTCTTTTCTTAAAGTCTTACCGTCTTTCATTTATAGGCATTGAGACTTCTACTAGTGAACATTTTCATTGCGTGTCAGCAAATATTTCTAAGTGTATGTATAGGAGAAAGTTTTTTTTGTTTTATTTTGTTTTGTTTTTGTCGGTCGTGGGTCTTGAGCTCTGGGTTTGGGCGCTGTCCCTGCACTCTTCAGCTCAAGGTGAGTGCTCTACCACTTGAGCCACAGCACCACTTCTGGTTTTCTGGTGGTTTATTGGAGATAAGAGTCTCACGGATTTTTCTGCCCAGTCTGGCTTTGAATTGCGATCCTCAGATCTCAGCCTCCTCAGTAGCTAGGATTACAGGCGTGAGCCACCGGCACCCAGATTAGAAGAAAGTTTTTATAAATATAATTGCCAGATTAAAAGATAAGGACATTTACTAGGGCATAAACTCAGGGCCTGGGCACTCTCCCTTAATTTTTCATTCAAGTCTGGTGCTCTACCACTTCAGCCACACCTCTACTTTGGGCTTTTGGGTGGTTAATTGGAGATAGTCTCACATATTTTTCTGCCCAGGCTGGCTTTGAACCACCATCCTCAGATCTCAACCTCCTGAGTAGCTAGGATTATAGGCATGAGCCTTGGTGTCTGGCAGAACTTTTCAATTTCTGTTAAATACCAAATTTGTTCTTCATAATGGTTGTGATAAGTATGCTTCTCCTAGTAATGAGAATTTCTATTCCTTCATAGCTTCAATTTTTTTATAGTTCATTTATTTTTGTGTATTTTCCTTTAAAGCTTTCTAAAATATACTTTCTTTGAAAAAACTTTAATTGGTTAAAATTGCAATTTTATGCTGGGTGCCAGTGGCTCACACCTGTAATCCTAGGATCTGAGGATCATGATTTGAAGCCAGCCTGGACAGGAAAGTCCATGAGACTCCAATTAACCAACAGAAAATTAGAAGTAGCATTGTGGCTCAAAGTGGTAGAGCTCTAACTTTGAGCGAAAAACATCAGGGAAGTGCCTAGGCCCTGAGTTTAAGCCCCACAACCAAAAAAATTATGTAGGCAATTGTCAAAATAATTTACTCCTGGCCTTGCACTGGTGGCTTATGCCTAAGATGATGTTGAAATCTTTACCTTTCTCCGTAATACTAAGATTGTGTTGCTATGCATTGCGTAAGGTAATTTTGACTTCTGTGTCTGGAGGTCCATTCAACTGCAATTGAACGTGGGAGTTGAGCAGATCCGAGTTGTGCACAGAGATGGAAGAGTGATCACACTGTCTCATCAGGAGCAGGAGCTACAGGATTTTCTTCTGTCTCAGGTAACAGCTGCACACAGTCTTTAACCCTTTCCTCTCATAACTGCTTAAAAAAACTAGTTAAAATATACTGAACCGTTAAAATATAGTGAGCTATATAAGGAGAAAAGCACTGGGTTTTTGGTTTGGCATTTTACTTTCTACTGCATTTTGCAGGCTGCTGCATAATTGAAAGTGTCAGCTATTCTAGATTTGTTTACACTTGCTTTGTTTGGTTTTGTCTCAGCCATGAGACAGGGTCTTGCTGTGTAGCCCAAGCTAGCCTTGAACTTAGACTTTTTATTTAAGTTACAGAGCCAGCCTCTTTCTGCCAGGATTGAGCCATTTAGATGATGTCACAGGGCAAATGCCAAAGGAATAACTACTCCAGCCTTGATGTGCCTTGTCATCCTACTGCCTCCCATAGGAGGCATACTTAATGCATGACCTGAAACCACAGAGCTTAGGAAGCAGTTACCGTGGCTAACAGTTCAGCCTCAGCCCATGGGGAAGAGCCCAGCCTTGAAGGGCAAATGGAAGACATTGAGCCTGTTTGCTGCTTCTAGTGTGCTCCATACCTGGTGGTCCCAGGGGTAGACTCTGCGTGTCATGTTCAGGTCATGTGGCTCTGCTAGAGCTGCCCAGTGGCTGTAAAGTGAGAGAATCAGCTGATGTCAGCTTCTGAGTGTAGATGGGGCCCAGCTCCCTCATACACACACAGAATACTGCTAGACATCAATAGTCCCAACAAGAGCTTACAGTGGCCACGTTGGGTCACTGCAGTGTTCCCTTTTCCATTTGCAGATGTCCCAGCACCAGGTGCATGCAGTTCAGCAGCTGGCAAAGGTCATGGGCTGGCAGGTCCTGAGCTTCAGCAACCATGTGGGCCTGGGGCCAGTGGAGAGCATTGGCAATGCCTCCGCCATCACTGTGGCCTCCCCCAGCGGGGACTACGCCATCTCAGGTATTGTCTGCTGCTGTGTGTGTATGTGCAGGCTCTGGGGCTTGACCTCAGGCTTGAGCGCTTTCTCTGAGCTTTTTTGTTCAAGGCTAGGGCTCTACCACTTGAGCCACAGCCCAAGTGGCATTTTGTTGATGAATTGGAGATGAGAGTCTCCTGGACTTTGTCCTCCCAGGCTGGCTTCAAACCGCACTTCTTGGATCTCAGCCTCCTGAGAAGCTGGGATTACAGGCGTGAGCCATGTCTGCCACTTATAGGAAGGGCTTTTGAGAGTGACTCAGTATTTAGCTATTGTATTAAGTATGTGTAAACTGGATTTACCTCTGCAGTGAATTAACCTATATTTCCATTGTTGCTTATCTGACTATATCTGTTATTAAGAGCAAGGCATCATTACTTTTCTTTCTAGTACTTAAAAAATTATTTAGCTTAAGGCTTTAGACCCATGGTAGAGCACTTGCCTAGATCCCAAGAAACATAAAGAGAAAAAAAGAACACTTCAGTCCATGTTCCATCCTAACAAATCTCTGAAGAACTGACATTGATTGTCGCATCTACTTCCTAAATCTTTAGTGGATGAAGTATTTTTATTTTATTTTTATTTTTTGTGTACCGGGGCTTGAATTTAGGGCCTGGGCGCTGTCCCTTAGCTTTTTCTCCAGATGTTGATACTCTACCACTTTAGCCACATCTCCATCCATTCTGACTTTTTGGTGGGAAATCTCACAAACTTTTCTGCCTCGGATGGCTTAGAATTGGAATCCTGTGATCTCAGCTTACCTTTATAGAAGACTGGCTTATGTATTTTTTAAAAGCTTCAGCTTGCTGGGCACCAGTGGCTCAGGCCCATAAGCCTACCTACTCAGGAGGCTTAAGATCCTAGGATCATGGATTTGAAGCCAGCCTGACTAGACAGATCCAAGATTTTGTGTGGTGTGTGTGTGTACTTTTTAAATTCTTTTTTTTTTTGCCAGTCCTGGGGATCAAACTCAGGGCCTGGGCACTGTCCCTGAGCTTTTTTTTTTTTTTTTTTTTTTTTTGGTCAGTCGTGGGGCTTGAACTCTGGGCCTGGGCGCTGTCCCTCAGCTCTTCAGCTCAAGGCGAGCGCTCTACCACTTGAGCTACAGCGCCACTTCCGGTTTTCTGGTGGTTTATTGGAGATAGGAGTCTCACGGTCTCTCCTGCCCGGGCTGGCTTTGAACCGTGATCCTCAGATCTCAGCCTCCTGAGTAGCTAGGATTACAGGCGTGAGCCACCAGCGCCCGGCCCTGAGCTTCTTTTGCTCACACTAATTCTCCACCACTTGAGCCATAGTGCCACTTCTGCATTTTTTTTAATGTGGTACTGAGGAATCAAACCCAGGGCTTCAAGCATGCCAGGTAAGCACTCTACCACTAAAGCCACATTCCCAGCTTCAAAATATTCCTAGCTTCATTTAACCAGCAAAAGCCAGAAGTGGAGGTGTAGCTCAGGTGGTAGAGTGCCAGTCTTGAGCAGAAAAGGCTAAGGAAGAGTAAGGCCCTAAATTCAAATACCAGTACCAGCAATTAGTCAATAAACTAAAATGAAATAAATAAGCAGCTTGAAAAGTAAATAAGTAAACTTGAAAAGGACAGTATCTGGCCCTAAAGGCCCTAAAAGCAGTAGTAATAGGATAGAGCAGAGAACATTTTATTGAGCACCTACTTTGAGTACTTTTCTTTTTTACTGTATTGGGGTTTGAATTTGGATCCCATGCTTGTTAGGCACTTGCCACTTGATTCATTCCTCTAGCGATACCTTATTTTGCTTTAGATGTTTTTCAGATAGGATCTTTCTCCTTTTTCATCAAGCCAACCTTAGGTTATAGGTATCTGGGTATCTATGCATTACCACACTGGTTAAAATATGGGTCTTGCTAACTTTTTACCCAGCTGGCCTCAAACCCCAGTCTTTCTGATTTCTGCCTGTTAGTAGCTGGGATTATAGGAGTTGCCTCACCCAGTGAGCACGTGTTTCAGTCGTAACTTACAAATACATTATCTAGATTAAATTATTTTTTAAGATGTTTATTTTATTTTTTTTGCCAGTCCTGGAGCTTGAGCTCAGAGCCTGAGCACTGTCCCTGAGCTTCTTTAACTCAACACTGTACTACTTGAGCCACAGCACCACTCTGACTTTTTCTGTTTAGGTGGTACTGAGAAATTGAGCCCAGGGCCTTCATGCATGCTAGGCAAGCACTCTACCACTAAGCCACATTCCTAGTCCTAGAACTTTTAAATATGAACTTCTTTTCTGCTATCTTCTCTAATACTTTTAATTTGAAAGATTGGATAGTTACAAAATATTTCCCCATAGGAACCCAGCTTGAGACTGCAAGTTTGACTTTTTTTTGGGGGGGGGGGGGGGGGGGAGTCCTGTCGTGGGGCCTGAACTCTGGGCCGGGGCGCTGTCCCTCAGCTCTTCAGCTCAAAGCTAGCGCGCTACCACTTGAGCCACAGCTCCACTTCCGGCTTTTTTCTTTTTGCTTATGTGGTGCTGAGGAATCGAACCCAGGGCCTCAGGCATGCAAGGCAAGTGCTCTACCACTGAGCCACCTTCCCAGCCCAAGTTTGACTTTTTATTGCTAGGAATTTCTCTTTTTTTGATCATAGGGATTGAACTTAGGGCCTCAAAATTGCCAAGCATACATTCCACTGCATCCTCTGTTCCCTGTTGCTAGGGATTTTCATTGTGCTGAGCCACATTTATAACCTGAAGTTCTGCCTTGGGAGGTGGAGATTGAGAGGATTTTGGTGTGAGACCAGCCCTGGCAAAAACTTACTGAGACTATTATCTAACAAGGTAGATGTGATGTTTTATATCTATAATCCCAACTGTTTTCAAGGTATGGGGGATCAAAGTCCCAAGTCCTGGGTACAAGACCCTATCCAAAATATAGCTAAAGCAAAAACCAGCTGAAGGTGTATGTAGTTCAATTGATGAGTGCTTGAGGCCCTGGGGTTCAAATTCTTTTTTTTTTTTTTTTTTAATTTAATTTTATTTGTGAACATACTGTACAGAGGAGTTACAGTTACATGGGCAGGATAATGCGTACATTTCTTACCAAGCATTGCAGCCTCCTCCTTTGTTTACCCTTCACATCCCTTCCCAGCCTCCCCCCTCCCCCCCAATCCTTCTCCTTCCTGGGGTTCAAATTCTAAAGCCACTGCTGGGCCCAGTGGTTCATGCCTGTAATGCTATCTATTCATGACTCAGCTTGAGTACCAAATGCTCTGATCTGGAGACTCTGGCTGGCTGGAGTCTGGAGTCAGAGTCTAGAAACTGATCTCCCAGCTAACCACCAAGAAAGCCAGAAGTGGAGCTGTGGTTCAAGTGTTAGAATGCTAGCTTTGAGCAGAAAGCTAAAAGGACAACACCCCAGGCCTCAGTTCAAGTCCCAGGACCAACACCAAAAAAGAAAAAAGATTGCATTTGGAACTGAAAAACACTTAAGTTGTTCAACAGTTAGGTGTTTTTTTTTTTGTTTTTGTTTTTGTCGGTCATGGGGCTTGAACTCTACCAGCACTCTACCTCTTGAGCCACAGCGACACTTCTGGTTTTCTAGTTGTTTATTGGAGATAAGAGTCTCATGGGCTTTCCTGCCTGGGTTGGCTTTGAACCGTGATCCTTAGATCTCAGCCTCCTGAGTAGCTAGGATTACAGGTGTGAGCCACCGGCGCCCGGCAACAGTTAGTTTTTGTATTCACAGCACATGACATTGTTGGATTTATTCCCCTTGCTATTTTCTGAATGCAGAATGAGTTACTGGTATTTGGGTTTTCCTCCCTAGTTCGAAATGGGCCTGAGAGTGGCAGCAAAGTCCTGGTGCAGTTTCCCCGGATCCAGTGCAAAGATCTTCCCAAAAGCGATGTGCTGCAGGACAGCAAGTGGAGCCATCTCCGCGGGCCCTTCAGAGAAGTTCAGTGGAACAAAATGGAAGGTCGAAACTTTGTTTATAAAATGGAGCTGCTCATGTCTGCACTCAGCCCTTGCCTGCTCTGATTCTTCCGGAGAGTGGACTCGAGATGTTTCGAGGACAATTATAAGCACAAGGAAGAAAGACCTTCTAAAGGAGCTTCTTCTTAAAGCAATGTAATAAACATTTATCTGTCAGTTTGAAACCTTTCACTTTGTAAGTGACAAGTACTTTAAAATGTGGTACAGTTGTAGATAAACAGTATGGGAAAATATATTTTTATGCAGCTAAACTGAAAATTATTTAAAATTTGCTTTAAAATAGCCTTTCTTTGATGGTAATGTCAGTTAAAGTGTGTGGTTAAAAATCTCAAGTCAGGGGGCTGGGAAGGTGGCTCGGTGGTAGAGTACTTGCCTTGCGTGCATGAGGCCTTGGGTTCAATTCCTCAGCACCACATAAGCAAAAAGAAAAAAAAGCCGGAAGTGGCACTGTGGTTCAAGTGGTAGAGCGCTAGCCTTGAGCTGAAGAGCTGAGGGACAATGCCCAGGCCCATGACCAGACCCCCCCCCCCCCCCCCCAAAAAAAATCTCAAGTTAGGGGGCTGGTAAGGTGGCTCAGTGGTAGAGCACTTGCCTTGCATGCATGAGGCCCTGGGTTCGATTCCTCAGCACCACATAAACAGAAAAAAAAAGCCAGAAGTGGCGCTGTGGCTCAAGTGTAGAGTGCTAGCCTTAAGCTGCAGAGCTGAGGGACAGCGCCCAGGCCCAGAGTTCAGGCCCCACGACCGGACCCAAAAAAAAAAAAAAAAATCTCAAGTCAGGCACCAATGGCTAATACCTGTTACCCTAGCTCCTCAGGAGGCTGAGATTTGAGGATCCCAGTTCAAAGGCATTCTGGGCGGAAAGTTCAGAGGCTCTTTTTTTTTTTTTGGTGAGTCCTGGGGTTGACCTGGGCCTGAACACTGTCTCTGAGCTCCTTTTGCTCAAGGCTAGCGCTCTACCACTTGAGCCACAGCGCCACTTCCATCTTTTTCTGTTTATGTGGTACTGGGGAATCAAATCCAAGGCTTCATGCGTGCTAGGAAACACTTTACCACTAAGCCACGTTCACAGCCCCCAGAAAGCTCTTTATCTCCAGTTACCCACCAAAAAATACCGAAGTGGAGCTGTGGCTCAAGTGGTAGAACAGTTGCCTTGAGCAAAAAAGCTAAGAGCACATCTAGCCTCAAGTTGAAGCCTCAGGACCGGCACTAAATACATAAATGTTTGAAAAATCTCCAAGTATCTGGACACTTGTGTGTCACACTTGTAATCCTAGTTACCCAGTAGGCTAAGATCTAAGGATTGCAGTTCAAAGCCAGCCAGGGCGAGAAAGTCCATGAGACTCCTTATCTCTAGCCATCAAAAAAGCCTGAAGTGGAGCTGTAGCTCAAGTGGTAGAGCACTAACCTTGAGTTAAGAAGCTCAGGTATGGTACCCAGGCCCCATGTCCAGCATACACACACAGACACAAATATTTTCCTAACAACAACTCAGATAAATTATGTCTCAAATCAACTATTCATTCTACATTTGTTTGTGTCATTATTGGAGATTGAATGTAAACCATTGACTACCTGGGCCATTTCTCAAGCCCTCATTCCACTGTTTGTCTTTTGCTGACTTTCACAGGGACATGTACTTACACTGAGTCAGCCAGGCCCTTTCCCTTCCTGTAGAAGCGATGGTCCACTCTTCTGTACTAGGGCGCTGAAGGTGCTCCCCTAGTGTAAGTGAAAATCTCTTCAGCCTCTTTCCTGCTTGCCTCAGTGTCACATCTCAGGAATTTCCCTGCAAGGGACCGCTGAGGGCAGCAGGCACACTCTCCCCCCAACTTCCTGTCTTTGTATTTACCTGGGCAGCAACCCACTCTGGGAGCACAGCCTCCTGTACTCAGCTCCCCTGCCAATTTCAAACCTTCCCGTGGCTCGGCGTTGCCTCTGTCATTAGCTCTCTTCTATGAGGTTAAGGGGTGGCTGCTGCTTTTCTTTATGGTTGTGAGGTTTGAACTCTAGGTCTGGATGCTGTCCTTGAGCTTTTCAGCTCAAGGATAGTGCTCTACCACTTGAGCCACGGTGCCACTTTTGGCTTTTTCTGTTTAAGTGGTACTTAGGAATCAAACCCAGAGCTTCATGCATGTTAAGCAAGCACTCTACCACTGAGCCACCTTCCCAACCTAAGGGGTGGCTTCTAAGTAACATGTTTGCATTCCTTGGAAATAGAGCTTAAGTTCTAAAGTGCACCTAAAGAATTCCTTTTGGTACAACTGAAAAGAGTCAAGTTTCCGTATAAGTAAAGTTTTCAAATCTTAAAATATTCTACTTTAATAATTTATAAGAGAACTGTGATACTAAAAAAATCCATTATGGGGCTGGGAAGGTGGCTCAGTGGTAGTGCTTGCCTCACACGCATGAGACCCTGTGTTCGATTCCTCAGCAAAGGCTGGAAGTTGCGCTGTGGCGCTCAAGTGGTAGAGTGCTAGCCTTGAGCTGAAGAGCTGAGGGACAGCGTCCAGGCCCAGAGTTCAAGACCCACACCTAACAAAAAAAAAGTTATATTTTCCCATTTATTATTAAATGACACTTGCAGGCCATAAGGCAGTATCTTGTTACATTGGCTTGCTTTTTTCCCATTAGCAAAATTCTACATTTTGAACCTGGAGCTTGTGGCTCACACCTGTAATGCACTCAGGAGGCTGAGGTCTTAAGGATCCCAGTTCAAAGCCAACCCTGGGCAAGAGAGCCCATGAAAGTCTTCTTCAGTTAACCACTAGAAAACCAGAAGTGGATCTGTAGCTCAAAGTAGAAGAGCACCAGTGTTTAGCAAAAGAGCTCAGAGATAGTGCCCAGGCCCAGAGTTCAAGCCCCAGGACTGTCAAAAAAATTCTGATGGTCCACGATATTTGCTTTGGCTAGAAGCCTAATGTGTACTCCTTTCCCATGAAGACTCACATTGAATTTGGGGGGCTCATGGTTAGTACAGTGAAAAATCAAGTTTTGGTTTGTGTGTGCACATTTACACTCTGGTCCTGGAGCTTGAACTCAGGTCCTGGACACTGTCCTTGAGTTTTTTGTTTTTGTTTTTTTTTTGCAATCCTGGGGCTTGAACTCAGGACCTGACCACTGTCCCTGAGCTGCTTTTGCTCAAGGCTAGCACTCTACCACTGAGCCACAGCACCACTTCTGGCTTTTTCTGTTTATGTGGTAGTAAGGAATTGAACCCAGGGCCGGGGCTTCATGCATGCTAGGCAAGCACTCTACTACTAAGCCACATTCCCAGCCTCACCACCTTTCTCTTCCCCCCCTCCCCCTCGAGCTTTTTTGCTCAAGCTAGAGCTCTGCCACTTGGGAAGTAGAAAGTTCTACTTAAGGCTTTCTGATGGTTAATTGGAGATAAGAGTCTCATGGACTTTCCTGCTTGGGCTGGCTTCAAATCATAATCTTCAGATCTCTGCCTCCCGAGTAGCTAGGATTACAGGTATGAGCCATGGGCACCCAGCTTGGTTTGGTTCCTTTAAATTTCCATTGATTGAATAGTTTGGTAAGTTATAAAATGAATTTCTAGAAAATTGATATTTTAGAGGGATAAAGCTGTTTACTTAAGACAGACATCAAATTGTGAAATATAAAAATTCTGAATGGTGGGTGCTTGTGGTTCACACCTGTAATCCTATTCAGGAGGCTGAGATTTGAGGATCCCATTCTGAAGCTAACCAGGGTAGGAAAGTCTTTGAGATTCCTTATCCAACTAAGCAAAAAAGCCAGAGGTAAAGCTGTGGCCCAAGTGGTAGAGCACCAGCCTTGAGTGAAAAAGCTAAGGGATAGCATCCAGGCACTGAGTTCAAGCCCCAGTACTTAAGCGCGCACACACACATTTTAAAAAACAAAAACTAGAAAGTGTGGATGTGGGGAAATGACAGTTTCAGTACTGTGCAGCCTCTCTTGCCTGAATTTACATCTTCCAGCCTGATGTATGCATTTGGAAGGATGTTTGTGCTGTAAGCACTTGGGAGATAGGGCATAGAAAAACAGTCATTCAACAACTAGCAAGATAGCAAAAGAGCTACCTACTATTGGCTAGCTTGTACAAGCCTGGCAGGTTCCCTTTGAACTTGTTCTTTTCCATATACATGGGAAGGACACAGCCTCTGCTAACCTCATAGCTTTCCATAAGGTTGGTACTGTATTTTAAATTCTAAGGGTAATTTAAATTCTAAGTTCTATGCAAATATAAAGCATTAAACAGCTGTGATGCCAAAGCCCAGCTAGGCTAGTAATGTACTTTGGTGATAGAGCTTTTACCAGGTATGGCAAAGCCTTAGGCTCCATCCTCAATAACACCAAAAAACAAAACAAAAATCCGGACAAAACATTTTAGAATGTCATAGCCTGATTTGCAAATACATTGTATGTGGTGAAGACTACGTGGTTTTTTGTGGGTGAGAGGATTTGAGGGTTTTCCAATTTTGAAGTCAGGCTCTGTGTCATGCTTTTCCAGACTCCTTGTCCTTTGTCCTTAATTTGTTCATGGACATTTTGTCAATCCTGTTCTTTGTTGATATCTGATGGCTGAATCTTTGGATCTTATTTAGGATGGTAACTATTTCTCATCTTATTGTAAAGGCCATTCACAACTTAAAACAGTGTCCCAGTTCCAGCTGGTCAGTACCTATAGCCCTTTCCTTCTCTTTTTTCTCCCTTCTCCTCCCGTCTTTTTGTGCCAGTACTGAGGCTTGAATTCAGTCTTCACTTGCACTTAGTTTTTTCTCATAAGGCTGGTGCTGTAGCCACAGCTCCACTGAAGATTTTTGCTGGTTAAAGCCTTGCATTTGCATGCCTAGACTGTCTTTCTCAGATCTCAGCCTCCTAAGGAGCTAGGATGACAGGCATGAGCCACTAGCACCTAGCAATCCTTCAAGCTTTCTAAAGTTTGCTATCTCCTAGCCTGGTGTTCTCATTTAGAAATCTGTCCTGTAGTACTACTTCACAAAACACAGATTCACAAGGGTTCACTGCATAGGGATTACTGAGAGGTCTATAAAAATAGGAACTGGAGACTCATTTGAATGCCCTTGTATAAGGTAAATGGTAAGGAGATAATGCTGGAGGAGCCTTCGAATTTACTTCTCTGCAAGTGGAGCCTTGGAGCCTGCATGTTACAGGAGGTTTTTTTTTATTTTTGTTTTTTTTAAACAAACTGTCTTTATTACAGTAAGTCACGACTCCGCCTATAATAA